GCGACGGGTGGCGGAGGGGGGGGGGGGGAACGAAACATACAATCAAATGAAAAAAAAATCCATCCTTCCCAAACACTACCAATGTGTGGTGAATAATGCATGTTAAAAGGTATTCAAATCAGAACTCCAGGGAAATTTTTGCACTGCAAGGGTTAAGTGCTCATTCTTGTCTAGTTTCAAAAATAACAAAGTTATGCTCACTTGATCCTTGGAGCCGGCTTGCTCTTAGACCAGTCCCTGGAGCCTTTCTCCCCCCTCCGCTGCAGTGGTCTAAAGTCCCTGACTCATCATGTTCTATATATGTTCTACAGCTTTTAAACCGATCCTTTCCGGGTTTCTGACCCCATGCTGGTCATGATAAACATATTATGTTGATTGAAGCAACATTCACCATATGTATTCCCAGAGGATTTTTGTACGTCATTCTGAATTGAGAAAGCTAATCAGATGACCAGCGAAACGTCTTCAAGAAAAATACAGCAGGTCCAGTTGCCTTGCTTTATTTTTTACAGAGCTACCATTGAAGTTTATAAGGACAAAAATGTGCCATCCTGGTGGGTAAAAAAAAAAAGCTCATGTACCTTTTCACGTGATAAGCGACACACATTCAGATGTGAGAGGACACCAATGAAAATAATACGATTCTTAAAGATGAGCATTGTCGTGCTTCAGGAAGCCCGATGTAAAACGCTCAGGTGTAAATGGGGCTTAGGATAAACAATTCCCCCCACCCTGTGAGATGGTCAACTGAGAACATCCATTAAAATACACATAGTTACATAGTATTTGAGGTTGAATAAAGACATGTCCATCAAGTCCAACCTATTGTGTGCATGTGTATGGTCCTACTGATGTGTGCGTATGTATAGGTCTCTGTGTGATCTCATTCTTAAGAGTACTTGTACCCCTGTATATTACGGTCCCTGAGGAAATCGTCCAACCGCCTCTTGAATGATTCCACACTCTTAGCTGAAATCACAGCATGTGGCAGCGAGTTCCAGACCCTGACCGATCTAACTGAGAAGAAACCCCTTCACCCCTTGAGCTGAAATTTTTTGTGCACCAATTTTAGGTTGTGGCCTCTCGCCCTTGTCATCGAGTTAATTGTAAAACGTTTGCTGCTAATGTGACTATCCCCGATAATATTGAAGCAACATTCACCATATGTATTCCCAGAGGATTTTTGTACGTCATTCTGAATTGAGAAAGCTAATCAGATGACCAGCGAAACGTCTTCAAGAAAAATACAGCAGGTCCAGTTGCCTTGCTTTATTTTTTACAGAGCTACCATTGAAGTTTATAAGGACAAAAATGTGCCATCCTGGTGGGTAAAAAAAAAAAGCTCATGTACCTTTTCACGTGATAAGCGACACACATTCAGATGTGAGAGGACACCAATGAAAATAATACGATTCTTAAAGATGAGCATTGTCGTGCTTCAGGAAGCCCGATGTAAAACGCTCAGGTGTAAATGGGGCTTAGGATAAACAATTCCCCCCACCCTGTGAGATGGTCAACTGAGAACATCCATTAAAATACACATAGTTACATAGTATTTGAGGTTGAATAAAGACATGTCCATCAAGTCCAACCTATTGTGTGCATGTGTATGGTCCTACTGATGTGTGCGTATGTATAGGTCTCTGTGTGATCTCATTCTTAAGAGTACTTGTACCCCTGTATATTACGGTCCCTGAGGAAATCGTCCAACCGCCTCTTGAATGATTCCACACTCTTAGCTGAAATCACAGCATGTGGCAGCGAGTTCCAGACCCTGACCGATCTAACTGAGAAGAAACCCCTTCACCCCTTGAGCTGAAATTTTTTGTGCACCAATTTTAGGTTGTGGCCTCTCGCCCTTGTCATCGAGTTAATTGTAAAACGTTTGCTGCTAATGTGACTATCCCCGATAAACATTTTGTACATGAAAATCATGTCCCCCATTAATTAAGTTCCAGCACCCCGCGCCTTATTTATATCGTCTGACTGTGTGATATACCCCCTCCCTGTTTGTCCTGGAGACCATTGCCAATGGAACAGAAAGTGATGGGAAATCCAAAATTCTACAGCTGTCTTCAGAATAGAAATAGAAGGGAAGCCTTCCAATCCAGACACCTGTTCTGATGGCATTTGTCTAACAGGGGAATCCCTCCTACTTCCTGTTGCATTTCTGGGACAGGAGCAGAAAGGAAATCTCTCCAACAGGACGTAAACAGCAAAAAAAAACAATTGTCCGAAACTTTTAAAAAATTTATAGATACACCAAAAAGCAGCGAATGGTCAGTGACTGTAAAAATTTTTGATTTATAGATATTCCAGTTTATGACAATTTTGAAGGGAATATACACGAGGCGTTTCAATAAGGCATTTAAAATACATCTATGGCGATGTGTATGTCGTCAGAAGCCTTGCGCCAAATTCATGGAAACCCTGTGATGTTTTCATTGGTTGTTTCCAAGTGTGCAGACAATTGAAGTAGTTTTTATTTGGGGCAGTTTTAGTGTACGGCGCCAGTGGCGTAACTACCACCATAGCACCCTAAGCGGCCGCTATGGGGCCCGAGGCCAGAGGGGGGCCCGGTCGGGAGCAGGAGAGAGGCTAAGGGATCCTTAATTTCCATGCGGCCGCAAGTTAGAATCTGTGCAGAGTCGCACGGAACCTAAGGATACCTGCACTTCTCTCCCCTGCCACAGTGTAGAGCGGGGGGGAGGGCGGAGTCATCTCCTGCCTGTGTTCGGCTGGAGAAGAAGCAGCGGTGTCTGATCTCCACTGCTGGCCAGGACTGCCGACAGGTAAGCAGGGAGGGGGGGAGGACCAAGTGACAGGGACTGCAGTCTCTCAGTATTGTCCCCATATCTACTGAGCTGCAGGAGCCATTAACACTGGCGGCGGCTCATTCTTATGCTAATTGCGGGATTTGCATAATCCAGTGAAGCAGGGGAAAGTGGGGTTACAAATTATAAACCCCTGTAGTATTTTAAATTATAATTATAACCCCCCTTGTGTGATTGCAAATTCCATTATCCCAGCTTTATTGGTGGCACGGTTAAAGAATTAGGCCTCGTTACACAGGACGTTCTGGCATTCCTGCAGCAGAAACATATATATTCTTGTGACAGGAATATTGGCTGTCCCACTTAGATGTGGCCGCTGTACCCACTGAAGTTAATGACTGGGTGACAGCGGCCATATCTGTAAGCGGCAGTCCACACGTAATGTACGCGATATGATTAAATGCAGTTTTGAATAGATCACTGTCTCTGGACACACGTATCCTAAGCTCAGGGACACTGATCTATTGCAAACGGCATTTAATCGTATTATATAATAATAATGATAATATATGCTGTGCTGTAGTTCAAGCACCAGAGGGGGGTGCAGGTTGGGGGGCCCTATACAAAATTTTGCTATGGGGCCCTGTGATTTCTAGTTACGCCCCTGTACGGCACTATTGTTGAGACAGATTGTTCCTTACCACCGTATCGGTGGTAAGGAAAGTAGAGGTAAATTAGACCTTCTACATGTTGGAGTAAATGATTGATTGTGTCGCATTTGTAATTATTACTTCATATCTTTGAGATAATTGTGCAACAAAATTTTGTCTTTGAGTTCCTCTGCAGCTGATATCTGATACGCTTCCATTACTCTCTCGAGCTTCTCTGCCACTTCGTAGGAAAGGTGCTTGCGACAGTCCTGTCAGAGCTGCGGCAGATTAATATACACCTTACATATATATACGGGAATCGCGAGACTGGTTTCTAAAGAGTATCTAAGACACTCTTTATGAATTCCAGGGACAGTGTTCTCCATATATGTTTCTCATTTATTTAATAAATTCAGGATTAAAAATAATTTTTACGTTTTTTGGGGATGTTCATATACCAGTGCCGATACCAGTGCCGATACGTGGCATTTTGACTAGAACTACCAGGGTTGCAGCTGGGACCTGGCTCTGGCGCTCCACCACTGTCCTGAAATCATTAGTCTGTATTGTTTTAGAAAAACTGTCACATGACAATAAACAAAAATATATCAGTACTTGTATCTGTGAGGACTTTGAAAAGTATCAGAACTTGTACTTGAAAAAAATGGTATCGGTGCATCACTTATATAAATTTATTTTTAAAAATCTTACAATAAAACAGAGATGTACAAATCCCAGGAGCTCTGTATGCTCCTTGAAAATGACAGCTGCCTCCTAACTTTTGAGTTTTTCTCTAGTTTAGTCTTGGAGCTGGAAAAGTATCTGTTCATGTACCAAGTACAGTACTTGGCATCTGAGCATCCCTGCCATTTTTTATTTTTTAGTTATGGTCAACTGATAAGAATCTCATGTATGGTGGCTTTTCATATAGCCCCCATTTGCACCCAAGCAATCTGTCACACCTTTCCTGAAGCCCAAGAATGCTCCATAACTGGTTCCCATTATATTCAGTGGTGCCCGTTTACACCTGAGCGTTGTGTTGCTAATTTGTCGCTAAAAAAGGGTAGAATCACGCATTGCTGGCCCCATGGATTCTAATGGGAGCGCATGAAAACGTGACGCAAGCTTTTTACCTCGTTTCTGCGCCTAATCAGTCTCCTCCTCCTAGCAACTTCAGGAGCACATATTAAGGATTCATGAGTGTTCGTGCTGGATGTGTAGATTTTTATCCACCTGGTAAGGGCCCACAAGAACCTCAAGACCCAAGTGATGCCCATTACAAGAACCATGGCAAGCAAAAAATAGCCTGGGAAGAAATTGGGCGTGTAGTTTTTCTGGATTGAGAGCTCCGATAGCACCTGACACTAGGGATTCACCAATATTGTTTGTTTGGTATCGAGTACGAGTACCAATATTTTGCTTTCAGTACTCGCCGATACAGAGTACCGATACCGGTGCTTCCGCTGGCATGCCACCCGGCTTTCTGATTGCCCAGAAAGCCGGCTCCATGTTGTTTGGCCGGCTCGATTGTGATTGGCTGGAAAACTGGCTTCCCAGCCATTCAGGAAGCTGGGCAGTGAGTAATGACCCGCCTCCGGGCTTCCTGATTGGTTAGTAAGCGGGCTCCATGCTGATTGGCTGGAAAGCCGGCTTTCCAGCCAGTCAGCAAGGAGCTTGCTGTTCGGCCAGCTCCATGCTGATTGGCCGGAAAGCCGGCTCCATGTTCCCCTACGGCAATGCCGGTCAGAGGAAATCTTCCTCTGACCGGAAGTTCCGGTATACGAGTACTGGCCCAAATACTCAGTATCGGCATCGATACCAATACTAGTATCAGTATCGGTGCATCCATACCTGACACCAATACTCCATACAGAAAACCCAGGAGTCAAATACAAGGATGTCAACAACATATTATGTCACAAATTATAATGTTTCATAAAGCTTAAAATACCTGAAAAACATGCCCAAAAAAATTGCCTGAAATGCTCACACTGTGAATGGGGGCTTTGGCTGAAATTTTGCCACAACTGACCACAACAGAACTCTTTATGTGGGCAACGGAAAATATATTTTCCGATATAGGACAGAGAATGGTTGATATGATTTGACTCGGTCATTTGGCCAACAGAGATGGTTCTTAGTTACTGACACTTTTATTCATGAGGCCCTGTCTATAGGAGCACATGACATAAGAGAGATGGTATGCATGTGGGGATTTATTCCTGCAGCATCAGAACAGACAGAGTCCCATGACATTGCCAGCTGTCTCATCTGCAATTCCTCGTTAGAGAGACACTCAACATATAAGTGGCACTGATGCCAGCCTCAGACATATATATAGGTCTCAGGACTTTAGACTATGGGGAAGAATCATCCATATAGTGCAGGTGTATTATCTTTACCTGAAATGAGTAATAACATTTGAACAAAACACTGCACCTTATCAATATTAAATTGTCCAAAAAAATCTACCTAGACATAGAATTCAGATGCAGAGAGAAACGTAGACTCTACGAATCAGTTCATCTTTAGTGCCATCCAATGTCTGGTATTGACAAATTGTAGCAGACTGACAAGCGCAGCAGGTGGACAATGGGGGGCATCTGCGTCCATCTGTCCTTTTCCTGGTATAGGCTGGAAGATGAAAACAACTGACTGGTTTTAAAAAAGCAACATTACCTATTTATATTGCTATGTTTTTAGGTAGACAAGTTCCATAATTGGTTTCTTTGTAGATGGTGACAGGTCCAGCTGGCACAAAAACAAAAGTACTACAGGCAACAGTAACATGCTAAGGGCAGTAATACACTGTAAGTGATGGGAACCCTTTAAACGTAAAGCCCAACTTGATCTTTCCCTGCTCCATGCCCCATACAATGAATCAGTTCCAGCATTCTTACCTAAAATCTTGGTTTCTTATTGCATGTAAGATCCTTCCTCTCTGGCACTGGTGGTAGGCAGTTGTCTCTGCTGATTAGAATGGCTCTCTTGTGAGGGCTGCTGTATGCAGAATTCTCTTGTGTGCCCAAGTTATGAGATAACACCTCCAAGGGGGTGGGTCCATGACAGCCTTGGCTCACAGGACATGAGTTAAACAATGATGGATATCATTCAACTTGGAAGAGGAGCAGCACCAAGTTGTTAGAGTGGAGTGTCTGCAGGGAAAGCGCCAGCAAAAAGGTGAGTATCACAGGTGTTGTCCCAATGGAGGTCTATTGATTTTGAAAAGCTGAAGCTGGCCTTTAAATCACCTTCCTTTTTTTCTGTACAGCATATGGGGTTGAAGAGTAGTTTCTTCCTATGTGACAACACTGGTGCTTGGTGATTGGGTGTGCAGACGGTTCTTGGAAACAAGTAATAAAAAAAAGTGCCATGCAATAGAAGAGCTCTTATACTCACCTTCCTAGCGGGCCATGTGTCCTAGTGATCTTATCAGAAGGTTCAACCACTTCTTTTTATGTGGTAAAAACTCTTTCTCAGTTGTGCTCCTTGGCTGTCACCCTGTCACACAAACCCCTGATGGAGACTTCAGGCACGGTCCGACATTGTCACCATCAATAAGCTGGTCCACAGCAATGGAGTGCAGGTGAGCAGGAGAGAGTGGATGTCGACAGGAAGTGGTTAAACGATCCTGGAGGAGATCAGCAGCACTGAAATGGGAAAAAAAGTAAAGTATTTTATGTAAAAACAGCTGATTGTTTATGGTACAACTGTTTTGCAAACTAACAGGGTTATTCACAAAAGGGTGAAGAGCAGGAGAAGTGAACAATTTAGGCCAAAATAGCTGATTTGGAAAAATTCTCCAATTCAGATCACTTTCCAGTTCAGCTATGTTGTCCTAGATTGTTCACTTCTCCTGCCTTCTCCAAACTCTACACCTTTTTGTTAACAACCCTGCAAATGTCATCCAGTGAGGGTTTAGATCAAGCATTTATGGAATGTGATAATGTAATCAGCCTTTTCTCAAAATTGACATTGTTTCATTTATTACTGATAGAGAAAAATTGCCAGAGAGGAAAAGTTGAGACCAGAAACGCTGGTCAGAGGGGAGGAAAGACAACAAATAGAAGAAAGTAAAAATGTAATAGAGGAAGTATGCAACAAGGAAAACCATAATGATGACACAAAAGATGAGCAAGAGAAGGTTCAAACAAAACAGATCTCAGAAGCGGAGCCAAAAAATGACAGTGCCGAAACAGTGCCAGATAGCATGGGTCAACAACCAACCCAAAAGAAGGATGAAGGAAGTGGGAATTCTGAGAAGACGTCTATGGTAGAACAGGAAAACGGTAGCACTTTGATTGCTAACATTGATCTGGTGGAAAATACGGAAGACAAAAAGCCAGCAGAGAAGATTTCCAAATTGAACATCCCCAAGAAATTAGCTATAGACTCCAGTTTCATTAAGATGAGCTCTAGGCCTTCTGGTAACCAAACCGACTTGGACAGAACATTGCAGAGCATCAGGAAAAACGATCCGAACATCAAAGAGGTAAACTTGAACAACATTGAGAATATTCCAAAGGAAATGCTTCTTGACTTTGTAAATGCTCTAAAAAAAAGCAAGCACGTAAAGACCTTTAGTATGACTAACGTGGGAGCTGATGAGAACATTGCATTTACCTTGGCCAACATGTTACGTGAAAACAGAAGCATCACCACCTTGAACATTGAGTCTAATTTCATCACAGGTAAAGGTATTGTGGCCATCATGAGGTGTCTTCAGTTTAACGAATACCTGACCGAATTAAGGTTCCACAATCAGAGACATATGTTGGGCCACCATGCGGAAATGGAAATTGGAAGGCTTCTAAAGGCCAATAACACTTTGCTGAAGATGGGGTACCATTTTGAGCTGCCTGGTCCTCGAATGGTGGTCACCAATCTGCTGACCAGAAACCAAGACAAGCAAAGGCAGAAAAGGAAAGAAGAACAGAAACAGCAACAAGTGCAAGATGAGGAGGAAATCTTTTCTATGCTGGAGAATGGCCTGGAGTTGGGTATTCCTCCAGAGCTATGGGCAATGATTAATCAAGCACCTAACTCAAGTGCACCAGCACCTAACTCAAGTGCACCAGCACCTAATTCAAGTGCACCAGCACCTAACTCAAGGATGCCAACAATTCCTGAAGAGCCTAAGATTCCAATCCCACCGCTCCGAAAAATTAAACAAAACAAGCCACCACTTAGCTCAGAAAACATGGCCAATGCTGAACCCCCACCTTTCAAGGAGGTAAAACTAAAAAAATTCCAGCCAAAGTCTGTTGCCCAAAAGTTAAGAGAAGAGGCAGATAAAACCAGCCTGCGAGATATGATACAACTGAAGAGAGCAGCACCCAAGTCAAGCACGTCTCAAAATTCAGAGCTGTCCGAGAAAACCAATCTCAGGGATGTAATAAAAACTCTCAAGCCAGTGCCAAGAAACCGGCCACCACCTCTTGTCAACCTCACGCCAAGAGATGAACTTTTGAAAGATATTCGCCAGAGCAGCGTGGCTTATCTTAAAGCGGTGAGTCATTTCAATTTGGAAGGGATTTCTACTTAACCCATTTTATCCAGTATCCTCATACACCCTGCATTGTTAAAAGATAGGATGCACTCTGGTACAAGCTAGCATAACCAGCCAGGTTAAAGTATAGCTAAACATTAGGGAAAAACTACTTGCCTGGGGTGACTAATGACATGGGACCATCAACTTGTTAGGCTTAGTCTATGGACCTAGGTGTCGGCATGTCACCCTTGTAGTCCAAATTATGATCAAGTGTTGCACCGTAGGTCAGGAAGTGTAGTACTGACAGGTCCACCAGGTGAAAATAAAGGGGGAAAAAAATAATACAGCCACCACAAATAAGGACTGATAGGCCACCCTATAGTACACTTTACATATTACATTGGGTTTACTTTGAAACGTTTTTTCACATTTATCTTACATTGGTTGGGCATCTTGAGGACAGCATAGGTTTTCTATCATTTCTTTGTTGGTGACTTTAAAGACCTGTCATAAATAATGTAAGATTTTTTTTTTATGACATTAGAAGATGCAATTCTAACTTCTTCTAGGCAGGATGAGGGAGAGCCATTCAGCAATACAAGGTTGCTGACAGAATAACACATTGTTCCTGGTAACACATCTTATATCTCATTGGAGCATTATTTAGTTAACTCAGGTCACACAAATGTTGTTTGATAATGTCATGAAATGTGCTGGCCTCCCCTTAAAGGATAAGTTCACCTTTTGAAAAAATAAAGAAAGGCATAATTAATAATATATATAAAAAAAATATGCATTTCTTTAGTATTTGCATTCAAGCCTGGAAAGCATTGCAATTGTGATCACTCGATCCCAGCTGCAATGCTCAGGCTTCTGCACATTCTCTCCCAGGCAGAGCTCCTTACACGTAGTTTCAGTTAGGAGAGATGGGGGAAGGATGGCTGGACTTCAAACTGCATTAAATCACATCATACAGCGTCCAGCCGTCCTCCCTCTAGGTAGATGCGGAAATATGGGCCTAGAATTGCACATTAACAGATATAAGAATCTAGCACGGAGTTCAATACCATTAACAGAAACTTGTGACTTACCTATAATAATATTTTCTTGGAGTACAGTACAGGACACAGGCCAATCTTAAGCTTGGGTTATACCCCCCACTTTAAAGTGATCATCAAGGTGGTAGTATAATGCATAGCTGAGATGGACCCTATTGAGAGAGAAACTACAACAAAATCCAGCAAATCTGCTCTGCAGCTCCTCCCCTTTTATTTTGTCACTTAATTCACCTATTATGTCTACAAGAAGTTATTTAGGGTGACTTGGTGCCCCATTACCCTAGCTCCCTAGGCCAGCCTCTCTCAACTTTATTAACATGGAGGAACCCTTGAAATAATATTTAGTTCTCAAGGAACACTTGCCGATAAGTACTGCCTACAAGTTACTAGACATTAGTGTGTTGGTCTGTGAGAAAAATGCTTCTTACATTGGTAGTTGGTGAGAAAAATGCTTATGTTGGTGGTCCATGGGAAGAATACTCCTTACATTGGTGGTTAGGGGAAGAATACTTCTTACATTGGTGGTTAGGGGAAGAATACTCCTTATATTGGTGGTTAGGGGAAGAATACTCCTTACATTGGTGGTCAGTGAGAAGAATACTTCTTACATTGGTGATCAGTGGGAAGAATGCTTCTTATGTTGGTGGTCCATAGGAAGAATACTCCTTACATTGGTGGTTAGGGGAAAAATGTACCATGTGTGGGAAAGTGCAGGCTTACCTGAGCAGTCTTCCAGCAACTTGCTTCTGAGATCGGACCTGTCTATCGGCAGCTGTCATCACCCCACACCTGCTCCTCCTTACTACATCTCCCCGCGTCTGTGTGCCAATTGTGGGTGGGCGGTGAGTGTGAGGCGGAGAGGAGGTGGAGCTGTGAACAGGGCCAACTGATCGGAAGCCGATTAATCGATTATTGAAAAAGTTGACAACTTTTTCAATAATCGATAATCGATTATGTCGATTAGTTGTTGCAGCCCTAGAGAAGAATACTCCTTACATTGGTAGTCTGTAGGAAAAATGTCAATGATTATTTGGTGTCATTGGTTACTTATCTGAGATGCACAAATTGCTGATTGTTCAAGGAACCCCTGCCAACCTCTAAAGGAACCCATTCCACAGAACCCTGGTTGACAAAGTCTGCCCTAGGCACAGGCCCAGTAGTACATGTTTAAGTACCTGCTGATCTTTTCAGCTAGATTCTGCAACTGACAACAGCTGATTTATGTTTAATATATTTTAGAATATTCATTGAAATTATAATATCATGTAACACATCAGATACACTTATGATTCTTAATTTTAATGTTTGTGTTCATTTTTTTTCATCTAGGTACCACTACCCAAAGAGCTAGAAACAGGCTTAGAAGAATTGTTGTGAAGATCTTTACACATGGGCTGTACAAATATTGCTTACAATAAACTTGTGAAGACAATGAAGATACTTTAGCTAGTAAAATGGGATCAACTCAGCACATTGGATGAATAGTAGATCGAATGGTGTGAATTATTAACACATATCCGTCATCAATCTATCCAGGCACTGCACAGCGAATGACAGTCACTGAAAGCCGCTGGTTCCTGCATAAAGCGGCATCATTAAGAATAAACCCAGTTCTGGAATAGATGTTTGTGCATTGCTTGACAGGTGAAATGTCCGAATTATGCGGCACAAGTATAGTTTCCACTGCTTGCTACTCTTATGGTGTATTGGCATCTATGTGTGATTGCTGCACAAATCCGTCTCAGGAGAAAATCCAAGTTTTCAAAACTTTTGTAAATAATTTACAGATAAAATGGAAATATTCTGATATCTGGATCCCCAAAGAGAACATTAAAAAAACAATCTGTACAGCTACTTGTGATTGGTCGTCAATAATCGTCAGGGAAAAAGCCCCAGATATTCCCCCAATAACAGCTGCAAATGCTGCCTCATCTCTAGATGAAGAAAGGTAGCAAAACGTTACATGAAATACAATAATTAACATGTAAAACAGAAAGCAATTGCAAATGTGTCCAAATCAAAACATGCTTTCAGCTAAAGGTTGCAGTATTAAGCTTATATACAGGTGAAACTCGAAAAATTAGAATATCGTGCAAAAGTTAATTTATTTCACTAATGCAACTTAAAAGGTGAAACTAATATATATGATATAGACTCATTACAGACAAACCAAGAGAATTCAAGCCGTGATTTGTCATAATTGTGATGATTATGGCTTACAGCTCATGAAAACCCCAAATCCACAATCTCAGAAACTTTTTGGCAGTGTGGGCAGGTGCCAAGTCCTGCTGGAAAATGAAGTCAGCATCCTCATAGAGCTCGTCTGCGGAAGAAAGCATGAAGTGCTCCAAAATCTCCTGGTAGACGGCTAAGTTGCATTAGTGAAATAAATGAACTTTTGCACGATATTCTAATTTTTCGAGTTTCACGTGTACATGATTCCTTGGGCCGTACAAGGAACATTCGGGCTTATTCCCTCAACTGTAAGCCACAGGTGCTGTGTAAAGCTTCCCATGGAAATCAATGGCAGTATGCAGCTGTGTATAAGACTTGCATAAACACATACACATACACACACGCATACAGATGTACTGCCCGGGACACAGACCGTCTGCATCCAGGAACAAACTTCTTTATGCCTGCATGTGTTTACTCGTCTACAGCAGCATACAGCCATTGGTTTCTTTGGGTAGCTGTACGTGGGTGTAAACCCGAAATTTAACATTGTATGGCCCCAGGCGCCCATGTGCATTAACCCCAAACTGACAATGTTTTCTTACTGTGTACATTTGGTGAAATAACTGTTTAGAAGTTTTGGATTAAGTAGGTAAGGGTTGAAAAACCCTTATCAGTTCTTTAATGCTTTTCCATGTCCCCGTTAGGTAAATCCAACCTCTATGTTTTCTATGTCGCTGTTATGGAGATTCATCCTCTATACTTGTCCTGTTCACTGATTTCACTGGGACTGAAGGTGAGGAAGAATCCGAAATTTTAAGTTGCCCCCAGAATAGGAATAGGAGATCTATGGGGGATAGTTATACTTGCCTCACTTTGGAGATATTTTTCTCACTTCCTGTTGTTTTTACAGGTAAGAAAGTGAATGGAAATCTCTGAAATGGGACAGATGACGAAAAATATTGTTACGGGGTGCTAACCATTCCTTACGCTATCCAAAACAAAAAAAAAGTCTTTAGATAGACTGAAGTATCCTGTTTTGTGATTTGGATAGTTCTCTGTGGCCCTTCAAGTCAGCACTCTGCATGGTGACTTTACATTAGCTACATTAGTGGTTAAACCCGGACAAGTATGACATAAGACAAACAGGCGACGTGAGGAACAAATAGAAGGTTAAAAATCTTGGTGAGCAAAGTTTTAGGAGAAGGAAAGGCAAGTTTTCAGAAGAAGTCGGAAATTAAATAGATTGGGTTCAAACTAAGCTATGCCTGCATTTTGGACAGATTTCTAAGGGTTAGAAAGTTTATATTGAGAGAGTAACTAAAGTATTATCAACAAGAAGCTAAATGGTGTTTTAAAGGAATATTCCAACTTTTGAACCATGTTTCATGTTACGTCCATATTTAGGGTATACCATTAACCATGGTTACATTCCCCAACCACCCGTCTTCAAACCGGAATCACGGGGTTCTTCTCCTCACCAGATTCTGTATTCATTTGAATTCAACACGGCTGTACGTGGCTCTGTCCGCACTGCTGTAATCTATTCACAGATCCATTCAAGGGATTTGTGAATGAAAAGACTAAAGGGCCCATCTGCCACCATGGCAGAGGGACTCCTAGATCTCAATGGAGTACAAGTGTGGTGTCATACTTCCTCAAACCCCATAACTGAAGATCTGTGCCTCCAGATAGATATGGAGCTGTGGGAAGAGCATGTAGGAGCCTGTGCATTGCACACAGGATTCACTGATCGCATTTGCAAAGCTTTGAAGGCTCAACTGCTAATATATATATAATGTATATATATATACATTATATACATATATATATTTATTTTTTTTAAATGCACATTTTTTTGTTTCACTAATGTGTATACATATGTTCATTTTTTTAAATGTGGACTATACCTTTAAGTATACTTTTTTGACCTGCCAGCACAGCGGGAAAGGATCTTGCCCCCTCTAGTGGCGGAAAAATATTAAGGCCTCAAAATGTCCTGCAATTAACATGCACATGAGACCCCGGGGGTATTAATGAAAAGTAATTGTAATTTATTAAACGCTGTATGTATGAAAGGAAACCATTGTATGTATTACTTGGGCAAAGAGTTTATTTTCACATGCTTGTTATTCTATTTTAGTACTATCATCAGAAGAAAGCTTAAAGTATATGTAAACCTAATCACTAATATCTCATATAAGCTATAATGTGTTAATGTAATTGCAAAAGTAATTTTCAAGATTTTTAATTCTGCAGCTTTCATCTAAATAACACCTTGTGTTCCTGTCATGAAGGTCCTTTTTCAGGCCCTTCTTGTTAAAGGGTGACAGCATTCTCTCACTATATCCCAGGGTTCCTGCATTGTCCCCCTGTCACCAAGGCTTCTGACAGAGGCTACAAAGCCCTGTTCCCACCCATGTGTTGCATTTAGGTATAATACAATACATTTTTCTACATGTTAAACCAATGCACAGTAATGCATGCCACTGTCATTCATTCCTGAAGGCACTGCAACGCACAAGTTCAGTAGGTAGTGACAGACCTGTATTGCCTTACAAATTTCCTTTAGGTCTGGAATTTGCTGCATTGTGGTGCATTTGTAGGCCATTCAAAATAAAACGACTTTAACATGCATTGCGGTAAGTCAGACCATTCGTTTTAAAAGGGCTGTCAACACACCCCAATGCGCAACAAAGCCATCTTTTGGGAATGCAGCACATAGCAACATGTGGTAGTGCATTGCTTTGTGTTTGTGATTGTTATACCACAAGTGCATTGCTTTACTGCATCCCATGAATGGCCCACGAGGTACTAATGCTTGCATGGTATGGTATGCACTCACAACCTCAACGCAAAGGTGTGAAGCAGGTTATGGGTTTACCGCTACTTGAAATAGGTACTTACATCAAACGACAGTGATTATTGAATATGGTCAACAGGTTTAACGCAAATACAACCAAGAATTCACTAGCAGATAGAAAGTATAATGGCTAAGTGGTTAACACCGTTACCTTGCAACACTCTAGTCCTGGGATTTATTCCAGCTAAGGACAATGTCTGCATAGGGTTTGTGTCGGTTTCTTTCTACAATTCAAAAAGACACCCGGAGGAGGATGCTAGACTGAGAGCTCCTTTTGGGCAGCAACTTAGGTGAATGGTTCTTTGTAAAGTGCTGTGGGAAAAGTGTCAGTGTATTGAGTACATGAATGAGTAAAATTAATAAACTCTGGATTTTTTTTATTATGTTATGAACTTTCTACTCTGATTTTTAGATGGTCGAATGGGATGTAATATCGGATTTTAGCCTCCAGATAGCACTACTGCACTTGCTCATGGTAAACCACAATTGAGATAATCAGCTGTAGGCTATATCACATATCCTAAGAAGCTCTGTACTACTTTCATATGTGGAGGTGACATTAGAGCTGTCAGATAAAAAACAGACACAGCCCATATATATCATATTCATGCATTATGTTGTAAAAAAGACTGTAAAGGGATGTTCAGATACGATGGCCGATACTTAGCATTTTCACAAGAACTACCAGGCTTGCAGAGGTTGCAGCTGTGACTGGGCCCTGGCGCTCCACCACTGTCCTCAAATCATTAGTCTGTATTGTTTTAGAAAAACTGTCACATGACAAAAAACAAAAATGTATCTGTACTTGTACTTGAAAAAATGGTATCGGTGCATCACACATATATATAAAATAATACATTTAAACAGAGATGTACAAATCCCAGGAGCTCCGTGTGCTCCTTACAAATGACAGCTGCCTCCTAACTTTTGAGTTTTTCTCTAGTCTAATTTTGGAGCTGGAAAAGTATCGGTACATGTACTTGTACAGAGTACGGTACTTGGTATCTGAACATCCCTATAAAATCTGTTTCCCTTTTGTATGGGAAAACTGAAAACTGGATGGTGCCATTGGAGGGACTATGATAACAGTGATAATTCACTACTACACTCTCGGTCATCACACATAAAGATGTTGGAAACTCTGCGTGATTGAATAACAATCAACCCATTAAGAAGAGGGGAGACAATCCGTCAATGGCAGTGCACTACAGTATCCCATCAGACAAAACGGGAAGGGAGAACATTATTGCTGGTTCCCAGGATCAGATATCTGTAGAGCCTACATAGGTTGCCCTGCTCTTCTACAAGTCAGTTTTGGATGCATAGTGGACAAATCGTC